GGGGCTGGGACTGGGGCGGCCCAGGGCAGTCCTGTCAGTCTAACAATCCCTCTGAGCTGCTTCTGTTCTCCACCTTCCAGGACTTGGAGATGGTGACCCTTGGTGTCCCTGGCTTCAGCAGCAGGGATGGGGCCCAGGCCAGGAGGGCAGGAAGGGCGAGGGCAGCAGAGGCGTCCATTGGCTCTTACCAGCTTCTGGCACCAGGCGCAGCCAGGCCCCGACTGGACGCAGTCCCGGCAGGTGCTGACCTTGTACTTGGTACATTCCTGAGAGAGGGCTGGGGATACGGACAGGCAGGTGAGTGGCCCCGTGTCCACCCTGGCCCACCGTGTGGGGCCCTGGGAGAGGACGGGGCCAGGCAGCGTCTGCGGCTCTACAGGGGCCCAGGAGGGGCTCCGAGTCGCCCCGTGTCGGGGTGCAGAGCAGATACCCAGGAGGATATCAGAGCCACCACCTGCGGCTCTGTGGGGCAGAAGCCAGTGTGGGGTCCTTCCTCGGCCTCCCGGGGAGCGTGCGACTCCGCAGCCCGCTCCTCCCCATCTGGAAACACCACGTGTGTAGTTGCACCCCTCCCCAAACTCACCAGACCCAAGGGAGAGCAGCCCCACCAGGGCGAGCAGCAGGGGGCCGCGGCCCAGCATGTCCTGTGGAGGGAGGGTCTTGGTGACTGAGGGGTCCTGTCCGTGGTGCCTTGGGGTGAGAACTGGGCTTAGCCAGCGTGTGGCTAAGTGGGCTCGTTTACCTTGGGGACAGTGCTCATGGGTGCTGTGGCCCGTGGGACTCTGTTGCACCTGTCCTCACCCTTGCTCCCCCAAACCCTGTGTCTACCCCTGGCACTCTGGGTGGGCTCCCCCAGACCAGTGGCCCTGCCAAGCCCCACATCCCCGTCTTTTGGGAGATGGCCCTGTTCCCTCCCCAGAAAGACTGCCATCAGGGCTCAGAAGCACAACTCCCACCTGGTCTGGCTTCCTGAGGCAGCAGCAGGAGGCCCACCTCAGCTCCGGCCTCCCGCACCGGCTCTGAAAGGCCCGGCGTCTCCCCACCTGGGACACGGGGTCCCACCTTTGCACCCACACCTCAAAGCTCTTGCTGCCCTGTCTGGGCACCACAACTGTGCCCCGACCTCAACTGACCGGGGCCTGGCCAGGAGCCCTCTAGTCACATGGTCCCCTCTTGTGAGGCCACAGCGGCTCCGAGCAGAGTGGAGCAGTCCTCCCGGGACGCCCCAGACCCATGCAGTGGGTGAGCCGTCGTGGTTCCGGGGAGGACCCGTTTAAACACCATGCTCTCTCCTGGGCTACCACAGAAGGCCCCTCCCCACAGAACACTCGTGACCACCAGCAGGCCAACTCCTTGGGGCCCTAGGCAGCAGGATGTGAGCAGGTGCCCCAGCGCCTCCATGCACCCCCGAGAGGGGAGCACAACTTGGTTACAGCAAGACCAACCCACAGACCGCAGAGTCCTGACCTTGACCACAGGAAGCAGATGGGAAGGGCCACCACCTCCTTGTCACTCTGACTGTCACCATGCAAGGTAACTGGGAGCTGGAGGCTGCTAAGAATAGTCAGTCCCCCCAGCCCCACACACCCACAGTGGAGCCAGACGAAGGTGCATCTGGGAGCGCAGTGGGTAGATGGATGAAGGCCAAGCTCCCGCAGGGGAGGCAGAGCCCAGAGGTGGGGCTGAGCGCTGGCTGGCAGCAGGCTTGCCTCCATGTGGCAGGCAGTAGCAGCGCCGATCCCCAGCCCCAAGCCCCTGGGGGGCTTGGCAGAGCCTTCCTGGGTACAAGGGCGCGTCCCTGGCCAAGATTAAGGTTCAAAGCCCTACAGGAGGCTACTTGAGAAGCCCAGGAGCCACTGACCTGCCAGACCTTTGCATCAGAGCTGCCCTTGACCTCCACCCACCCGCTGGGGAGGGTGCTATCAAAACCCAGCAACCTCAGGAAGTGGTGAGTGTCACCAAGTCCCAGTGCTGCCGCAGGCCAGCCACCCGGGTACCACCCACCCCCAAGGAACGCGGAAAACCAGAACCCTAGTTCACCAAGAAGCAAGCTGGGAACTGAGTGGCCCTTGGAGAAACAGGACTGACCCTTCCCCACCTCGCACAGGGCCAGGGAGCTCCAGGCTGAGAGAGGAGGACCTGCCGGCACAGGGGCCGCACCCGAGTGCCAGGACCCAGAGGTGGAGGCAGCAGGATGGCAGGTTTAAGGCCAGCCTGGGCAACTGGGTGAGGCCCATGGCAATGAGAATAAAAAGAGCTGGGAGGTGGCCCAGGGGCAGAGCACCCCTGGACTCAGTCCCCAGAATAAAAAAAGAAAAAGAAAGAAAGAAAGAGGAGGTAAGGAAACTTGAGCAAGACCGCAGAGGGCGGAAAGCAGGTGTTAGGGTAGGAGCCTGGTGGGAGGCAGGACACGGGTGTTAGGGTAGGAGCCTGGAGGGAGGCAGGACACGGGTGTTAGGGTAGGAGCCTGGTGGGAGGGAGGACACGGGTGTTAGGGTAGGAGCCTGGTGGGCAGGCTCCTGCTACAGACACAGGCTGGCAACCCGCGAACCCTAAGCCGAGCTGCCTGAGGAAACCCAGCTCCGCTGGCCCAGAGAACTTTGCATCGGAGCCTGGCCGGAGGGTCCTGCTCGGAGAAGGAAGTCACCTGTGCTGCCGGGTCAGCGCCCCCCAGGTAAGCACGTCAGGTGGGGCCCAGGTGCCCGGAGGGGTGGAGAGGGGAGGAAGCCGGGTCCTGATGGCCAGTCCCGCTCCCTCATTTGTGATGACACTTCTCCCCCACCTTTTCTTTTTTTAGTTGAGGTTGGACACCTTTATTGTATTTACTTATTTTTATGAGGCTCAAACCCAGGTCCTCAGGCGTGCCTGTCCACCTGCTTGTCCTCAGCCCAGGGACAGCTGGTCAAGTGCTCTGCCCCAGAGCCACAACCCCAACCCCCAGGTCTCTCCCCAAACTGGGGGGTCACGATGGCATCTTTTCTGCTTCACACACAAAAGGAGTGTTCAGCGGCCGGCTCCAGGGGCTGGAACACCGATGGGTGGCCACAGGGGCTCTGGGCAGACCTGGGGGGCAAGAGGGCCAACGGGAACACAGGCAGCAGAGACGGTCCCCCAGCCCCCCAGGGTGGCCCCCAGGTGCCTGTGAGGTGCGAGCACGCCGTGAAGTCACGCAGCTGCCATTTTAGGAGCCACGGTTTCTGACCAAATGGGGGAAAATGAACCTCCAACCCTATTGATCACCATTTAGAACCCTCCAGTGAAGACCCCTCAAGACAAGGAGAGACACCATCTTTATGAGACCGGGGCACAGGGGCAGCCGCCCTCTACCAGCTAAAGCCGAACCCCAGGAGGCAGCAGCCGCACAGCTTTTGCTGTGGACATAAAGGATCGGCAATGAACACCTGCAAATTAGTGTTAAGAAATAAAACAATCAGGAAATGGAAGATGTGTGTCTCAGACGAGGGAAAACTCAAGAAGATGGTGGAGCCTGAATAGGACAGGTTTTGTGCATCATCAGTTGCATAACAGGGGGCTGTGGCTGGGGCTCAGCGGTAGAGCGCTCACCTAGCATGTGCGAGGCCCTGGGTCCGATCCCCAGCACCACATAAAAATAAATAAACAAAATAAAGGTTCTGTGTCCAACTAAAAAATAAACATTTTTTTAAAAACTGCATAAAGGAAGCTACTTAATATCCAGTGTAAAAGGTGAAGGGTGATCTTCATCTCTGAAGAGACCTTAGACACTCATAGCTTTTGAACGGGTCAACATATCCTAGGAAAGACCACAGGCGGTGGGCGGGAGAGTCACAAAAGCAGAACCACTCTGGGAAATGGCAGAAGTCACCCTCGCTGGCCTGCCCACGGAGCACCTGGGTCTCGGGCAGCTGTCCAATTGGAGATTTTTAGCCTTTATCACCAACGCCCTGCAGACTCGGGCCCAGCCACAAAACGCATGACCCACGGCTGAGGCCACTCAGGCTCCTGGAGGAAAGCGAGCGGGTGGACAGCAGGGGCAGGGGTCGTCTCCGGCTCCGAGGGAGGCAGCGAGAGTGCTCCTGATGTCCCCCGCGGTCCCTCTGGCTCTCCAGCTTTCTAATGCAGGCTTGACAGCTCTGAGCTCCACAGTGCCCAGGGCACTGGGTGGAATCACTTCCCCAGATTCCCAACTGCCACGCGTTTGGGGACAGTCACATCATGGGAAGGGCCAAATGGGGCCTCGGGGCCCACTGGCACCTGCTCACACACCACTCACTGGCTCCTCCAAGAAGCCTCCCAGGGAGCGGGCAGCCTGGGTGTCCAGGCTCTTGGAGGCCCACAGTCCCCGCTCCACCGAGTTTCCATCACACTCCAAGTGCTCCAACCTCACACCGAAAGGCCCACACCCGGGCCCTCAGTGCTTGAAACTCCAGTGGGCGGGACCGCTGCCGCGGGGCTGAGTCCCCACACACCCCAGCCCTGGAGACCAGAGAAGCAGAGACCCTCTCCCCGAGCAGCGGGAGCATGCCCCTGGGAAAGGAGGTCTCAGACTGGCCAGACCAGGGCATCCCAGAGGCCAGCCCTGCCCTACGTCTTTCGCCAACAGGAAGTGAGGTCATGGCCGGTCATGGCTGGGGGAGGGGCAAAGGCTGTGAAAGGCCGAGGCCATGGCACTGAGGTCAGGGTCAACTCCAGGCAGGGGGCAGTGGTTGTACAGAAATAGGACTGGGCATTACCTGCAGGTGCACCCTGCTGGCTTTAGCCCCAGTTCCCCATGTCCTCCTGGGTGGGGCTCGGTGCCTGCTCCCTATTCTACTGGGGGGACAGGGGACAGCTCTGAGAGTCTCATGAAGAAGCCCGGCCAGGTCTCTTTCTCCCTGACTCCGATCCCTGCTGCCTTGACCCGGGGGAGGGAGCAGTGTGGACCGGCCGCCTTTGGAAGGCCTTGGGGCGGGAGGAGGCCCTCCAGGGTGGCACAGAGCAGGCCCCACACATCACCTCTTCACGACAGGCTGCTGGCGCACAGGGTGGGGTTCTGGACACCAGCCCTGTCCAGGGACTTGGGCCACGCCACAGGTCCTGCCCCAAGAAAGGGTCCCTTAGAAAGGCCACGAGAGGGGACTTTCCTGCCCAGGAGCAGAGCCATCGGCCCTCGCCCTGGCAAGGACTGGGCTCTAGCCACGGCCAGGGTGGAGGCAGACTCCTGCCAGGCTGACCGCACAGGCCGGCTGGAGAGTCAAGGCTGGCCCCGGCAAGCTAAGGCCCTGTCAGCACCGCCCACTGCAGCCCAGGAGGCTGGGACAAGGGGCTCACAGTCACCGGCTGCCCGCCCGCAGCCTGCTGCTGCCCGCCCTCAGCCTGCTGCTGCCTCTGCTGTGGAAGGCTCATGGCCCTGCACACTGCAGCAGAGTCCAGGAGGGGTCTGGGTCAGAGTCCAGGGGTCCCCCTTGAATCCAGTTTGTGCAGAGGAGAATGGACACTGGTCACAGTTAGGGCTCCGCCTCCTGCCTGGAGAGTGTCTCCGGGGGTCACCAGAGACTGCCGGCCACCCAGGTGCGGGCTCCCTGCGCGGGGCTTCTCCGCAGCCTGGCCCGTACCTGAGGGCGAACCTGGCATTGCCACACCTGCACTGGCAAGCCACTGGGGACGTGGCTACAGGAAGGACCACGGTCACTGCAGAAAGGGGGCCAGAGCAGAGGCCCAGGCTGCACAGGGTGCCTTCAGGCCTCCCAGCCACCTGTCACCTGCAGGACAACACCTGGCCTGAGTGGACAGAGCCGTCCGGGGAGCCCGAGGGTCCCTGGGTCTCTTCCCCAGGGAAGTGAGACAGCTGGAGTTTGACAACTGGGCCACCCACTTCACAGTTGGGGGCCAGGGGTCTGCTCACTCGCGCCCCTTCCAGAGGGTGAGCAGAGTCCCCTCCCTGCCCAGATGGAAGGAGGCTCCTCTGCAGAACTTCCCGTGAGGGGCCTTGCTGCCTGGGCTCTCTCCCCAGGTGGCCCTGAGGACTGTGACTTCAGCCTGCCTGTGTGCCCCTTTCTGTGCGAATGCCACCTGGGGTCAGGCTGAGCCAGCTGGGCTCAGCAGGGGAGCCGGGGTAGGAAGCGGGCTTTTCTGCCTCTCGGCTGCCCTCAGAAACCGCCGTGTGCTCTTGCAGAGACAGCGGCCCTGGTGGCCAGGTGCTCCACTGTCCTGGTGCCTGAGAGCAGAGACCCAGCCTCAGGGGACCCTCGTCTGCCAGATGCCACAGCCCCACGAAGGTCAGGTGGCCATGGCCCGGGCCCTGTCGGGTGTCCACCCCCTGGTCCTACTTGGGTTGTGACCCCCATTCAGGGCCCGAGGCGTGGGCTCAGCCAGCACCGCTCAGGGGCCTGGGCGAGGGCCTCTTCTGGGCGAAGGGCTTCCTCCTTCATCTGAACGCTGTGGGGCAGGCTGGGCCCAGGCATCACCGTCCAGAGGCTTAGCCCAGACCTGGGGTCACCCTGAAGGTGAGCCCTCCAGCAGCTCCACCTGGAGCGTGGGCGGGGACCTCCCCAGGCCCTGGCCGCCCCTCCTCCACGCCTGGGCCAGTGTCACTCCTGGGGAGGGGGCAACAGCACCTCCCTGCCCACAGCTCCCCTCCCGCCGGGCTCTACCAGGGAGGCTCCCTCGTTACAGGTGCCCCTGGCGCTCCTGTAGCTCTGCCCCGGGTGGCAGGCCACCTCCCCTGGCCAGGTCTCCGTTAAGGGGGCTTGGACGGCACATTCCCAGGACCCCTTCCCGCTGGACGCCCTGGACTGGGCGTCTGCACAGGTCCCCAGGGTCCACCCCAGGCCCAGAGTCGCAGGGAGTGGTTCCCCAGGAAGCCGAGCACTGAGGTGTCCCCCTTAGGACCACCCTGGCCCGGGCCGTACTCACCCACTCTGTCTCCTGGCGGCCTCGGCTCTGTGGAGGGCTGGACTGGCTGGGGCTGGCTCGCGGTCTCGCCTAGCGGACTCAGTGAAGGCCCAGTCGTGAGGCGCGATGCTTCCTGTTCTCAGTCAGCTCCTCAGAGGAAGCAGAGTGACATGTGGCTGGTTGCTCCACTGGGGGCCCCTCACCCCAGTTTCTCTGCTCACCTCCTGCAGCAGGCGGGACTAGAGACAGCCCCAAGCCAGGGCGGGACCTGCTGCTCTCCTGTTGGGAGGTGGAACCCTGTGAAATGGAGAACCAGTGGGGACCGCAGTCTCTGGTGCTGGTGACGGTGGGAGACCTTCTGCAGACCCGCCAGACAGAGGGAGCGCTCCTCAGCGCTCCGAGAGCAGGAGCAGGAGGAAGGAGGCCGCGAGCGGGCCCGGGATGGTGAGCACGGACCAGGCCAGAAGCCAGGCCAGAGGGCACCTCCAGCACAGACTCCAGGAGGGACACACAGACGGGGGGACCTCGGACAACAGAAGACTCCAGCCCAGAGGCCCCACCGAGGAGGCCACGGGGTGGCCCAGGGCTGGGTGAATCAGCCCTGCACCTGGAACACCTACACCCACCCAAAACCGTCAGGTGGCCAAGACTCAGACCAGCACCCTCAACCCTTGGTGAAAGATGTTCCCTAGACGTAGACAGGCGGATGAGGGTACAGTGGACGATGAAACTGAACCCAAAATAGGTAGAAATCATGACGTCTACAACCTGCTGATTTAAAAAATAATGGTAAAAATATCAGCCATCTGGAGGAGCAGAAGGACGGGCGGATGGGCCTCAGTGCTGCCCATGTGATCCGGGAGGGCAACAGTACTCATTGGTGGGCATTTTGATAAAAAAACCTCAGGATATGCCTACGCCATGGTTCAGGCTCCTTCAGAGTCTCGAGAGTCTGCAAACATGGAAGAAAGGAAAGTACAGGGGCCCAGCCGCGGCTCCGTGTTGAGCGCTTGCCTGGCAGCGTGAGGCGCTGGGTTCCATCCTGAGCACCACATACCAAACTTTAGCCAATAAAATAAAATAAAGGCATGTGTCCCTCTCCAGCTGTCTGCTGAACCCGATCAGACCGAGCCTTCATGTCCAGTCTCCAGTCTGTGGAAGTAGCCGGCACCGAGGAGCGTGGGACTGCACTGCAGGGCACTGAGCTCAGTCCAGGCTGGAGAGGGCCCGCGAGACAGCCACTGAGGGTCACGGAGAGCCAAGGAGGGGAGCCGGAGGTTTTGCAGGGGGAGCCTCGGGGTAAGAGACCTAGGGACACCTCAAGCAATCACAAACATTGTCATTATTAAGAAGTTGTGGGGCTGGGGATGTGGCTCAGCCGTAGAGCGCTCGCCCAGCATGTGCGAGGCCCTGGGTTCCATCCTCAGCACCACGTAAAAATGGACAAAATGAAGATGTTGTGTCCAATACAACTAAAAAATAAATATTAAAAAGAGGAGTTGTGGCTTTTTGCAGGTGAGATACTGTTTGTGGTGTGAGAAAGGGCCCCATCTTTCAGAGTTATGTGGTAAAGATGTGCTTCCAAATGACCAGGGTGAGCTGGGGTCGGGGAGGGCCGTGGGAGCACCAAGGAGGTGTGCTGGGGACCCGTGTGTCCATCACTCCTTTCCCTCCACTTTCACAGGCACGTGGAATTCTCTCTAGGAATAGAGAAATAGCTGGGTGCAGTGGCCACGCCTACAGTCCCAGTGGCTCAGGAGACGGATGCAGGAGGATGGTGAGTTCAAAGCCAGCCATCTTAGCGAGGCCCCAAGCAACTTAGTGAAACCCTGTCTCTAAATAAAATACAAAAGGGCTGGGCATGGGGCTGGGTGGGTAAGCACCCCTGGGTTCATTCCCCAGTACCAAAAAAAAAGACCCATTAAGCAAACCCTGACAACTGTGCTGGTTTGACACAGCCACAAGCGTATCAGAGTGGGCCTGGGGGACAACGGTAACCGGGTCGCTCCCAGGCTGCCAAGGAGAGCTCACAGACCTCCTGAGAGGGGGGATTCAGACACACTGCAGCAAAATGAGCCCTGACCAGGAGAGCACTGAAGAAAACGCAGCACGCTGAAAAGCTGAAGGCGAATGTGGCCTAGAATAAGCAAAAGCACTGTGGCCCGTTCGGGCTGGATTAATGAGCAACACTGACAACGTGACCTGGAGGGAGAGGATCAGGTCATCCATCTCAAAACCACAACATTCAGATTCTTCTCAGATCAGGTCCCACAGCAAAAAAAAGGGAAATAATCCAATTTAATAGTGTGCAAATGATCTGGTCGAACATTTCTTAAAAGAAGACACACAAACGTTTCACAAATATCTGAAAAAGTCCTCAACGTGCCAAATCAAAACCACAGGGAGCTGTCACCTCACCCCAGTTAGAATGGCTGTCACCATAAAGACGAAAACAAGTGCCAGTTAGAGTGTGGAGGAAGAGGAACCTGACGCCCGGCTGGTGGGAAACCACGGGTACGGCCTCCGCGGAGGAGAGTAGGGCGCTGCTCCAGGCCTGCGGATACAAGGAGCAGTGACCAGCACGGCCTGGGCCTCCAGGGTCACAGCAGCGCTGCTCGCAGGCGCCTAGGCATCCACCCCAGGGCACGCGGATACAGAGGGCGCAGCACCGGTGCCTGGTGGCAGGTGAAGGACACCTCGCTCAGTGGGACACGTCAGCACAGGGCGACGGACACCAACGTTCTCACTCTTTCTGGAGCTAAAAGTTGCTCCCAGGAAATGGAAAGCAGAGAGCAATGGGCAGAGCTGGGGGAGGCCGGGGACAGTCGGGTCAGGGGCGGCTGGACAGGAGGAATGAGTTCCCAGGCTGCGGATCGCAGGAGGGTAACCAGGCGGACAATAATTAACTGCATATTTCAAAACAGCTCGCAGGGTTTTCAATGTTCTCAACACAAAGAAATGATAAATATTCAAGGGAAATGCCAGTTACCGTGATCCGATTGTCACGGCTGTGCGTGTGTCAAAATACACTCTGAACCCCACAAGTGTGCCCCTGAAGAATGAAAATACGCAGAGTTTTAAAAAGCCTCATGTTTTACCTTTAAAGAGGACCTGGGGGCACTGAGAGCACCCGGCAGGGGGACCTGCTGGGCTGAGGGAACATTCCGTGGATCACGGTCATGATGGCACAGCTCTGCAAACCATAAAAATCACCCAAGTGTCCCGAAGACAGCACGTGGGCACGTGGATTCTGCCTTCAGAACCTTCCTCCTCGCAGTTTAAAATGACACGAAGCTACAGGTACTTCTGGTGCCAGCTGAACCGGAGCCAGTGTGGGCTACTGGCCCTCCAAGGCCAATCACAGTGGACCGCGCCTCACAGAATAAGATAAGGACAGACCAGGCGATAATCAGAGCTTGGGAGAGGGCTGATACCGTGGTGCGAGAGCACTGTTCCCCACCCCCACCCCCCGCCGTAGTGCCCGGCTTAGATTTACAGCAGCCGAGAGAGGCCCTCCTTCCTGACCAGGGCGGCCAGGGGGTCCCTGAGGCTGGAGTGCACAGGGGGAGCCCCGTCTTCTCCTGGTCGACCCCAAGGCAGAATCCTAACCCACAGCTACAGCAGAGAAGGACAGCAAGAGTCGCTTTGTCCCAGAGGTGAACCAGTTACAGGAAGAAGGGCAAGGAGGCTCACCCCTGCGTTGTGGGCGGAGTACAGGGCAAGGGTCCTCGGAGCCCCAGGAGTGCAGGGAGGGTGGTAAGGAGGAGACCGGGAGAGGGAACCAGAGGCTGAGTTCAAGTTCCAGGCTTGTCCTGAGTGGACAGGTGTGGACACCACCCAAGAGCTTTGAGAACTGCTGTGGGGCGGGCCTCCGCCAGGGTCGCAGACTGCACCCGAGGGATTCAAGTGTGAGGTGGACACAGACACCCGGCCAGGCTTTGAACTCACCCTGAATCGCAGCCCCCGAGAGGCAGGTCTGGACCTGTGGCCCAGCCTAACCAGACGGATGGCAGGAACAGAACCATCGATGCCGTCCGGAGGATCCTGAGGACCAGTCTCGTTGAATGACCAGAGTGCCCAGACCACAAGCTAGGACGGTTCCAACAACGACAGAGAAAGCCCAGAGGCCTTGTGAGAGAAAAGATGACCGACAGACACCCACATGCAGATGACCCACGTGTAAAAATGCTCCCACTGTCTGAATCGGGGTGAACAGGGCCGTGACGAGCCAGGCACTCGTGAGATAAACGCAGAGGTGATGTTAGACCAGGAGGGTACGGAAGTATGAAGGTAAAGCCCGTGGACATTAAGAGCAGAAATAAAGATTGCCGAGTGGGTTTAACAGGACCAGGCGAAGGCAGAGGAGGAAGAGTGGGTAGACATGGAGACCAGCCTGAGCCGTTCAGTGATGACAGAGAGCCCAGCATGAACAAGAGCCGGGCAGCACGCGTCCTGGATCCCGGCAGAGAGAGCAAGCGGGGCACAGAAGAGAGGATTGAAGCTCTAGTGCCTAAAGCGTCCCCAAACTGGTGAAAATACACATTCACAGATGCAAGAAGTCGGTGAACTTCAAAAGGACGGACTCAAAGAGAACCTGCCCCCTTCATCTCACTCAGGTTCTAACGACAAAAGATGAAGAAAGAAGTCTTGAGAGCTACGGTGGGGGAGGGGGTGGGGATGGGGTGGGGGTGGGGGAGTGGGGATGGGGGTGGTAAGACACCTTCAGAGGAACCCCCCGCCCCCCAGCTCGGATTTCTCATCTGAAAACCTGCAGGCCAGCAGATCATGAGCAACAGTTTATAGAGACATTAAAGAAAAGAACTCTCCACCCAGGTTTCCATATCCAGCAAAACTATTCCTCATGAGTGAAAGGAAAATAAAGACATTCTTAGATGAAGGAAAACTAAGGGAATCTGTTCCCAGAAAACATAGTGGAAATAAATCGTCGGCAAAAGGGAAATGATCCAAGAGAGAAACCTGGAAACTTAGAAATGAAGTCAGAGCAGTGGAAAGGAGAAGTATCAGGGCAAACACCACTGACCACTTTTTTCTTAAGTTCCTTTAAATGCATCAAACACAAAACTTGCAACACGGTCTGGCAGGTTTTCGACACCCGTAGATGTAAACTACAAGACCAGCACAGCGCCAAGGGGTGGGGCACACAGGAAGGGGCAGAGTTGCCAGCTGCCTCTGCACTTCCCTGGGAGACAGCCAGGGTGGTGGGTGTCAATCCCTGGAGCATCAGCCAAGAGCCAATGGGTGAACTAAGACGTGACGTATAAATACCTATGCAACTCATAACTGCACAGGAAAATGGGAAACAGGAGGCAAACGGAAAACAAAACTGAACAGCCTGCCTAACTCCAGCCATTTCAGATCACACGGAATCCAAGACAAATGCAGGCCGGTGGGGTCTTTAAACCTGACCCGAGTGGGCTGGGGCTGTCGCTCATGGTAGAGCACTTACCTAGCACCTGTGAGGCACTGGGTTCGATTCTTAGCACTGCATAAACATAAATAAATAAAATCAAGGTGCTGTATCCATCTTCAACTAATAAATAAATAAATAAGTGACCCAACTCTGCTGCCCATATGTGCTGAGAGCCATAGCCAAGTAGGAGTGATGCCTGGCATTTGGGGTTGAAAGGTGACCCTGCTCAGAGATTAGGGTGGCTCCAGGTTTAGGGTGGATCCTGCTGGGAATAGGGCGGCTCCAGGTTTAGGGCGGATTCTACTGGGATTAGGGTTATCCTGCTGCCTCAGGCACCCGCTCCTTTGGAGTTCCCATTGAGTTCTCGCGGGGTTCTGAGAGAATTGGTGCGCAGACCCGGGTAGAGGTAGTGTCAGTGAGAGTTCGGGAATAAAGAGTTGCTATTTGAATCTACAAGGCTGTGCGGTGGCTCGGTGATTTTGTGCCCAGCCAGACTGCTGCACATATGAAACCCACTTTGCAGGTGGTGATGCAGGTAGGATAAAGGGAAGGGTCGGAAAGATGCACCATTCAAATTCCAACCCAGAGAAATCTGGGTGACCCGATGCCTGCACTGCAGCTGTGCAGCACGGACAGCTGTGGTGGTGTCCAGATGGCAGCCCACGACAGAGCTCTGTCCAGAGGAAGCCGGGGCAATCCCAAGTGTCTGTGCACGAGCAGGGGTTCAGGGAAGGAGGAGATCTGTGAAGCCAGGGCTGGCCCCCGGGGGCAGGAAGGTCACTTGGGGGCGAAGCTGGGGACCTGCAGCAGTCGGAGGTGGAACCCAGCTCAGTTTGGGAAGTGTGGGGCTCTCTGGGCTGAGGCCATG